CTTTTAATAGTCATTTTAAATATCATAATTAAAAATATGGACAATAGCTTGCAAAATGGCAGTTAAGTTTCTTTCAAAACAGTCACCAGACACTAAACCTCCAAAGTTTTACTAAGTCAGTCTCTTGAATTGGTTACTATAGTGATTGTAATCAATGCTGTGATTGGTAGATTTAGTGGAGAGGACTTAAAATGATTGGTTCATGTAACTGTCCGATTACAGCCAACTGTTCGATTACAACTTTGCAGATTAATTAGAGCAAAATGCAGCAGTTTATGCACCAATCACATTTGAGGAAATTGTAACTGTTATGATTAACGTGGTAACCTTAACTGAGGTTGTTGTTTCTAGTACCACAGGAATAGTATAGTTCTAATGAATCTTGTTTTACTTTACAAGTAATAAAGGTTCAAGGGTAATCATAGGGTAGAACCAGTTAGGCGACTGCCATAAAATGTGTAATAGACCAGTCAGAACTCAAAGCAAAATAATGTTACTGTGACAACCACTTGAAGCGCGGTTTTACTCCTGATTGGACAGAAATGCATAATTTTGAACTTTTTCATATGGCATTGGATGAAGCTCGATGTGCTTTTCTTCTTCTTCAGCCAATTTTACACAAAACCAGAATATTTGTACCTTCATATTCCTTACTCCTACAGTGCTAAAGTCCAGTTCTAGATTTGATTCTGAATTCTCGTAACATGCATGTCTTGTACTGTTCGTTCTAATAATTTGGAGTTAAAAAAGCCCCACCGATGATTTTCTTTATTTTCTTCACCAGTGTACTTAATAATGCATTGATATTGTCAGGAGAAAAGATATGTTGATCACCTCAATTTACTATTCGCAGGCTATTTTGGACGCACCCGAGCAACAGCTTACCTTAAACGAGATCTACTCCTGGTTTATTCACAAGTTTGCTTACTTCAGGAGAAACGCGGCCACATGGAAGGTACGTGTATAATAGTCCTTTGATGGCAAAACGTTGAAGTTTCCATTCCAGTCATTACCCGTGTGCGGTGAGGTGAACGTTTGTATTTTCAATGTTGCATAGCGAAAATATGTTTTGCACTAACGTACAAACTACTTGACAATATTAACAGAACGCTGTACGCCATAACTTGTCTCTTCACAAATGTTTTGTGAGGAAAGAGAACGTGAAGGGAGCTGTGTGGATTGTGGACGAAGACGAGTACATGAAACGACGGCCCCAGTCGAAGGTCATCCATAGCACCTCGTAAGCTTATTTTTTGATTTTTGTCTGGTATTGTAATATGTTTGTTGTTATATAATAATCAAATGAATACGCGCGCTCTGATTGGTCAATCAGCTATGATTTATTGTGCCAGTAAACTCACGGAAATTTCGCGTGTCTTTTGAATTGTTATATAAAACCACAAGTTTCTATGGTTTAGAGGCATGATAAACCACTTCGGATGTTGGAAGAACACTCGAAGAATTCGTAAATCACGAGCCCAGGCTCGTGATCTACGAATTCTTCTCGTGTCCTTCCAACATCCCGCGTGGTTTATCCGCCTATAAACCATAAAAACTTGTGGTCTATTGCTTAACTGTATTCTTGGGCAATACACTTTCCCGGTGGTGGTGAGGGGAACTTCCATATGAAAAGGTCGGGAGTGCTGTTCGGAAAAATTGAATTAAACCCCTAAAGGAGACCAATCTGGGTGTGGCTCTAGCTTTATTTGACCCCTAAAAGATACCACTTAAAACGGAATAGGTTCGATTACCAGCCGCCGTTCAGGAAAGGAGTCCGCGCTAGTACAATAGACCGGACTCAAGAGACTGGCGGAAATCGAGCCTAAAAATTGAAACTAGTACGTTTCTTATATTACTTCTTCAAGTGCACCCTAAAAGATACTTTGACAGCTAAAAAGAGTGGCGTTTCGTCATCAACACCCTAGGTGAGACGAAAGTCCATGATTTATACCCCCAAGCGAGACGACGAGCCTCTTGGACCTTTTCATATGGGAGTCCCCTGGCCACTCTTTACTCTCACATTGCCTCCTTTGACCTAAGGGTATTAAGGGTGGCTGCGAATTGTTGAGACAACTTAACAGAATGCTGGGGGTATCTTGCGATGGTCTTGCATCTCATGCAAGAGGGAGGCGTCAGTAACAATGCTCCCAGCCGCTTCATGTTACTGAAACTGGGGTAAATTGCTGAATAGGCTGAAAAGGCTGTAGTATTTTAAAATTTAATTACTGTCTCTAGAGAAAACGATTTTTTGAAAAGTCTAAATGATGGAAGCATTCCCAAACATCAGAGGCAATCTAACTGATTGTTGGAGTGTTCCATGAACTTTTATACTCATTTTTCAACCTCCTCTTACAATAACAGCAGGATGATGAAACAGGAACGAGACCGCCTGATGCAACAAGGAGCCTTAGGGGGACTCCCCACACAGGTAAACCTGCTTCCTGTAGCGGCTTCCAATTCCAATACACCCAGTGAGGATGAAGGCTCTGGACAGGATGACATCCGCAAAAGGGGTTCGGAGTCGGACACTGGGGACGAAATGCCGGCCCAAAAGCGCCGAACTCTGAGAGACGGAGAGGAGGTGGAGGGCGTGGTCAGTGGTATCACTAAACTGGTGGAGTTTTGCTCTAAAGATATCAAGTAAGAAGATTTTGGTACCGTTTAATGTTTGTTACGCCCTCCTTTCTTGTCACTGTAAGCCCCTCTTTCAATGTTCTAAGAGCAAAAACATGAAAACACACACTGTAAGTTGTAGCTGAAAAAGGCATTTTAACAGTGTTTGAAGTGGTGAAAATTGTAACAGGTCAGTGTTTTCTCATGCCGTTTCTTTAAACTCCACATTTGCCGAAGTTTCCTAAAATTTTTCGTGATGCGAGAGTTTAAGGCTTTAGATCGCTACGCTCAGCGAGGTTGTGACCTCCGAAGGATTGCCTTTATCAGAATTTAGTAGCAACCGACAGAGTTTGATTTGCATGAAAATTAACTTACAGATGAAACGCATTTTCAAAACAATGGTTTGGCACGAAGACTCGTTTTGAAACAGAGGCAGAGGGCAACTCGGAAATGCCCTATTTTATCGTACAGTGTGAATGGGACTAGACTAGATTTCCAAAATTCTTTTCTTCCAGTAGCCAACTCTCTCAGTCTCAAGTACAAGTTAAGCTAGAGCCTCCAGAAGACGGACCAATCATAGCGCTGAACGGTGACAGTGAGCCTGGAGACGACCATTACGATTCTACAGGCGTGAACGGAGACAGCTTCATGGAGACTGGGGTGAGCGAGGATGAAGTTAGGCAGTGGTAAGATGTATTAGCAGTTGGTGACTGTTAGTCGCAAGCCCATCAGTCGCTGTCTGTGGAAGAGGGGTGGGGGAAATGGTAGTTTAGGGCAAAGTTTCTTTTCCTGGGAGTGATTGAGTCCGTGATGTTCGTCCTGGAGTTCTGTGGTTTCGTCGTGCCAAGCTGGCATGACGCAAGTGATTAATGGTTAACTGCACAGTCACACGAGCCTTCTTGTCTTTACTCACCCAGTTCATAACTAGTGTACAGATGGTAGGCACATGTAACATGACTGTGATGTTATATAGAGTCGTAAAATCTCATGGACTGAAGAGTATAGATACACAAATGATGAATTATAAACAATGGTATTTACTATAACTATACACGGCCAAATGAAACAGATAATGATACCGTGCTGATGATGGTGACGGTGACGATGACGACGACGATAGTGACAAAGACGATGACGTTGATGATGATGATGATGATGATGATGGTGTCATTTATGTCAGACTAGAATAGTTTTTTTTTTCTAATACCTTGAAACCCAACCTCTTTGTTGATCTTCTCCTAGACCCCGAAGTTGATTACGGAGTGCCGCATGAGAACGAACTACAATCGACGTACCATGACTGGAGGACAAGTTGAACTGACCGCGCTTGCGCAGTAAAAAACGAAGACCCGAGTGTTAATGCTGTGAATGAAAAAAGTGAACACAATGTTGATATCGGTGTGATGAAGATATTTAAGGTGGCAATCAACCCCATTGTGATTAAATCTGTTCAGATATAAATGTTTTGCAATTGTCTAGGTAATGAGGTCAAGAAGTTAGAGAAAGAACAGCGATAGCAGAAAAATTATGAATTAAGTTAAGTTCGATGTAGACAAAAATGACACGATTTTTATTATATTTAAGGCGAGGAACGTTTAAAACATTTTTTACTGTCAAAGACAACAATGAGCATGAAGAATAATAGGATAATTAAGATATTGTTTTAATGAGCCAATGCAGGTATTTCACAATCTTTACCAAACCAAACATCTGAACCTACAACTGCAGTGTGATGATACAGCAGCCTTACAGTGGAAATCTCTGTGATCACATTTTACCCTTTCTGTCTCAAGCTACATTATGTAGAGAAATAAATTCTTCCTATAGTGATTTTCGTTTATCGTTTATTTCTTTTTATCATTTTACTTATTTTCCACAAATTTTAACTGGTTGATTGGCGACTATGTCACCTGAATGTGACGGCCTACTAACAATTATTGTCTCGGCAAGTGATATTTGGGTACGTCAGATAAATACAAAGTCAGTGCGATCTTTAAACTGCATGTAAAGTTCAGAAAAACACTGGAGGTTGATTTAGTCGAATTCTTCCGTGATACTCTATTTAGCCCCTCTTCCCTTGCCCCTTTCCAAAACAACGATTACCGGCTCTGAAAGTTAGACTCGGTAAAGTTTGACGGTTTCTCCAAGGGAACCATCACAACAGTTATTGCTTTTAAAGGGAAAAGCCTTCTTTTTTATTTACCTAATAAAATAAAATTGTTTAGACTGAATGGTTCAGAGAACACCACTTACTGCGGTCTGACTTTTTAAGTAAGAACTGCTAAGGAAAGCTTTCAACAACTGCTTCCCATTTTCGAGGCCCCATAGCCAACAAAAAGCAAACACCGCGAGAAAAAGAAGGTATCGCAGTTTCATTTTTCAGTTGAGCATCTATAAAGTACCAACTGCAAGAAAACATTTTTCCCGTGAATTATAAATTTTACGCTCGTATTACTGCGTAGCATTGCTGAAACAAAACAAATCTAAAGAAAAAAGTTGCAACAGTGGATGCGTCATTTTTATGGTGGAAAATGCCCCGCTCAAATAAGGGCCAAGAGGGGCAACCACATCCCTTCCCTGCCCTTCTTGATTTAGTGATTGGCATAAAGAGAGTAAAGCACTGGGTATAAGCAACTTGAAATTTCTCGTGTGACGCATCTCGATAAGAACGTGTTGAAATTGTTGCGTACGCCTGTTGCGCGGTGCCTTGACAACCAAACTTTAAACAAATAAAGTAATCGCTCAAGTGGATGCTATAAGTACAAATCACTCGTTCAACCCTCGTCGAGTTTTACTAGAAAAACGGACCTTTTTCATGCGATGCAATAGCACCTAGTGAGTGGAAAAAGAACTTTTGAGTCTAATATGATACTTTTACTAATTTAATTTAATTTAAATGCGCATCGCACAACGTGGTAGTTTAATCCGACGCAGTAAGGTTTACAATGGTTAATTATTAAACAGGCTACACCTGCCGAGCGTATGAAGTCAAATTTGTGCTCTCAAAACGGTAAGAGAAAAAAACTAACAAAGTAAGCACCGCATCAGGCAGGTTAATCCGGAAAATAAACAGGCCGCGTTGGTCGTGAGTTGTTCCGGACTCAACCCTCTCTCGTGCAGAGACGATTATTAAACAATGTTCCTACCGCTGGGCGTCAAGACAAAGTTATTAGAAGCAACCGTAATTCTGCTGGTGTTCGAGGTTTAAATTTATCTCAAAGATTTGATAAGCAAAATGCCTGTTGATATTTTTGAAAAGGAACGCTTATTCCTGCTGGGCAAATATCAGCCTTGTTTACAAGAGAGGCGGTTGATGGGCTTAGTTGCGTGAGAAAAAGACAAAGAATTTTCCGCAAGTTTTGTTTGCGCTCGACGGGTGAATATCCCTCCCATATCAACCGATCATGCAAATACTGATTGTCACTCAACTCTATTGTGTTTCTTATAAAGTTGTAATTTTAGTCAACAGTAAATTTAGATCAGTCATTTCTCTGCACAGTTGTGATTATGATTGATGATTATAATCTCTTAAACTTACATTCTCATGTATGTTAAAGGATTAAACGTTATCTCAGTGAACGACAATTTATAAACAGGTGGTGGAGTGGTGAGTCGTAGTTTTTGTTTTGAATTCCTACACATATGTAAGTCGTGCTCAGGATTATTTGTCTTGAAATAAAGGAAGCCACCCGGGGAATCCGCTTTCTGCTGTGGTTGCTAAGTACTGCCTGAGTCTCTACGTCAGCTCCAATAGTTTATTATTTTCCGCATTATCTCATTACAGTAGAAATCCGCGTGTAAGAGCCTAGTGGTTTAAGAACCGCCTGGAAGATATAAGCCATTTTAATACCCAAAAATATAAGAACCCGTTTAGCCAAACAAGATCAAGCAGGGTCTCAAATGTGGCTTTAAGTTAAATTATGATAAACGTTTTAACCAAGGACTGACTTGTTATACAGAGACAACACTTTATATACATTCTGTAATTAGTAGCATTTGTTAGGCTTATACTACAGTTGTCAATAGATACTACCGCTATATTTAAGGACCAAACCAAGTTTCTGGTAATCAACAACTATATCTCCTTCATAGAAATTAAGAACGTAACTAAGAAATTGCTTAGACTAAATTGCCAATAACCAAACCAAAAATACAAGAATCTATTTTGCCAGACTTCAAAAAATGTAGGTTCTTACACGCGGGTTTTTCCTGTACCTGTGCGGTTGACGGTGTATCTGTGTTAGTGCTGAAAAATTAAGAGCTGATATTTCAGTTTTAGGCAAGTAAGTTTAAATGTAACTGAGAAATCAGTGTTCCTGTTCGCTAATAAGAATTAGAGTTCTCTTGAGTGGAAATTTGAAAATAAGGATTGTTTCATTGGTCAAATATGAATGAGATGCAATATCATGAGCAAGGCTTCGAAAAGTCAACAAGACTTGCTTATACTTCAGTGAATATTCTTGGTTGTAGCTTTGTTTAAAATTACTGTTATCTAAGTGCACTGAATGCATTTAGCGTACAGGTACAATAGTCATAATAAAGACTCAATTTGAAAAATTTGGGAAGCTTTTTTCAAAGTTTGAACTTGAAAAAAAATAGTGATTACAATCTGCGCTCCTTTCAACATTTCACTTGACGTTTTCTTCATGATACTTTATATACATGCATTTCGCTTACAGGAGAAGGTAGATTTTCGCACTGTTGTTCCCTAGAAATGAAGCACACTTCTCCGGTGATAGTGCCCCTGTAATGTAGATAGAACTAATCTCTACAAGAAAAAGCTCGGCTGTAGACATGCTTGTTTCATTAACAGATTAGGCGAAAATTTAGTCAATGGCAATGATTGTTCCACAAGAAAATGGTTTTTCTATAGTAATTTATAACGCCAGAACGTCAATGCCATTTACACCTCTTTTGCTATCTCATCATGCACCTTCATACTGGTACTACGGTTACGTAAATAAATGACAAAAATAAATCACTTTATCGAAGAGTCGAAGTGTTTAGCACTACTGTACTAATTGGGGACACTAAAACAAACACACTGCACAAATATTGTAAATTGAACGGAAACTTATTAAAAATCCCAAATGATAGGAGGCTAATATCCGTCAAGTATGCATGGCTGCTAATCCACAAGAGAGCTAAGGTTCCCTCTGTGGACTATTTTATGAGAGGAACTGATATCCTCGCCCTTCCTAAACCTTGCACTACCTTTTATGGCTTGAATTCCTTTCCTTATACAGTGGCTAGGTTCTGGAATGCTTTACCTGACAGATTAAGAGCTATTTCTTGTCTCAACCACTTTATTAGAGCAATTCGACAGCATGAATTAATTGGCTAATTGTAATTTCTTCGTGTTTTATTCCAAATACATAGTGTTCCTTTATTTTGATTTTAGTTTTCTCGTAGATACTAGCCTATTTTAGCTACTCAAAATCTGAGATAAAATAAAGTTTTATGTATGCATGTATGTATGTTCCATTACATGTCCTGGTATAAGGTTTGTTTTTCTTCTGGGCGGTAAGCTGCCTAAATTTCAATTTAGTTGTGGCTTAGTTTAAATCTCAAAAAGTAGAACAACCCTGTTCTCCGTTGAGCTGTGCGGAATTTCACAAACTTGGTTGGTAGGGTCCAAATAAACAGAATTCGCCAACGAACTTTAGAAAAGATATTCAGTTGAACTCTCTGTTCAACAAAGTCACTGTATTAATCAACATTGAATTTTAAATTTTCCTTGAGAAATAGGCCATGAGCCATGAACGAAAAATTATTATGCAACCAAAACTCTACTTTAAGCCGACGCTACTAGTTCAAAATAGCAGAAGTAAAAGAGTCGCTGTAGCATAAAAATATTTACTAGCAAAGTTATCCGCTCTGATAGGGAAATGAAAAAATCAGGGTCCAACCAACAGCAGTGTAGTAAGAACCAGTAACCAAAGGTATTTTCCGAACGAAGAGGCAAAAGAAGAATGAAAAACAATTACTTTCTCTTTGCTGGCTTTGAGCATTTCCTCCCAAGAATGTCAAGCCGAGGTTTCCATGCAGGCTTAATTCAATTGTAGTCTACCATGATTTCCCTATCACTGAATTCCTATGACATGGGAATCAATAACAAAATATATCAGCGCAACTGGAATAAATGGCCACCAGCGTGTAACTATCCTTTCCCGGTGTTGACAAGAAGGACTAAGAACAACTTGCTTTTGAAAGGTGTTCACTAAATTCAACATCAAGAGAGGAGTCAGGACGCATACATATAAGTATAGTCTTACATCCTAAAGCTAACTAAGAGTTGCGACTAAATGTTCTGAAATAGTAGCATCAAAATTCGATGAGCATAATATCTAACTTGCCAATACTATTTTATCTAGATCTAAGTATTAATACTCGGTAAGATCTTTGAAACGTATTAAACACAGTTAAGGGTTTACCGTAGTTTAAGTAAATAAGCAGACTTGAGTATTAACTAAACGGCTAACTTCTAAAAACTTGTCAGATCAGTTTATGTTAAACAGTGCAATTAGTAATCAGGTTCAGCTCAATTCACTTTATATTGTAATAGTATTAACAGAAAAACATCGGAGTTGCATATGAGTTGCTTTGCGCCACCTGTGTTGTAGTACTTTTTCAAGTTTGTACACGTAGATAATAATGACTATTACTTTTGCAAGGTTAATCACACACGTCACAATTTTTACTGATTTATTTTTTAGTGAAAGAGGGAGTGTGTGAGCAAAAGAATGAATGAGTAAGGTTAATACGTTAGCAAATGGAGAGTCACGGAAAGAATGAGTTACTAACTGTGAATTTGATTAAAGGTCGTTCCCGGTAGCGACTCTCTGTTTAAAGGAATATATGGTCCGAAGTTAAGTATTTTTCTTACTTATATTACTATGAAGAATTTTCTCAAGGTATTACTAGTTTATAGAACTTCTACTGTTTAGGGATTAAGTTTCAGCCCACGAGGTCCACGCTGGTGTTTTCGTGTCTCCATCAGTCTCAGAACAACAGCTCAGCGCGCCATCAAATAACGATGAACTTCAGCCACAAGCTTCTGGCGGAACTTGCCGTAAACAGCGCATAAACTTTGTGGAATTAGAGTATCAAATAATCCTTCAATTTCGACTAAGACGGCTGAATCGTGGCACGCTAGTTGTAGGCATTGCAACTGGTGGTATTCCAAGAAATGATCGCGCACACTTATTCTGTAAGATAAATGGACGAAGCTGTCGAAACTCTTAGCACATACTGAAAGCTCACCACCAAAACCTCAGTTCGAATCAGGGAGAATCCTTTCTCAACTAAACAACCAACGCCAATGTCTTTCAGACCTTTGTTGATGATGGCAGAGTGGAGTAAGTCAAAACTCAAGGTGCAGATTTAAGGCTAGGAAAAAAATCATTTTGCGTGAGCTATCTCGTTAGATGAATAAGCTCTTTTTGTAAGAAAGGGTATAAACCTCAACAACGTGAAGTTGTTACCTGCCGTGTGTCTGCGATGTTCTTTTATTGATTGTATCCATCTTTCCTATCAGGCTTTTACAAAGGGAACCCTTCTGTGTTACTCGCAGGGAGACATCAAAAACACAGGCATAAAGAAGAAATAAACTTTAAGGTTCTCAAGTTAATCTGCACGTCAGGATGTGTATCCATGGGGCCGGGCTTTGTTCAAAGATTTAAGCAGTGAATGGTGGCTGTCCCTATTCCGCTCTGTTCTTACACGGAATATAGACACAATGACTGACAAAAGATCTGCGTTTAAACCACATAACGGTAGCTCATTGACATGTATACGTCTTAAATACTTTTGGGCACCGCATAGTTATAATCCTAAATAAACGTCTAACAATATGCCAGTGCTTTTGTGGCTGATAATATAAACGTATTTAAGTTATACAAAGAAAAAAACTGTTCAACAATAACCCACGCATGCGGTCCAAGAGGGTGGAGGACTGAGAAATATGAACGTAGGCACGCATTTGAACACCAAAAATTGTCCCCTAGTTGTCGATCAAGAAACGTTTTTATATTTAAAACTTTGTCGTTTGTTTATGCTAAAAGTTTTCTACTGACATCTTGGAATAAAAACGGTGTCTTAGTGCTGAATTGCGTTGAAGCTTTTAAAGGTGTGGCCGCCGCAGGCAAGCTGAGTACATTTTTCAATTATCATCCCAGCCATTCATCGCACAATGACAATAGAACAGACAAAAGAATAACTTGTTTGCATTTGCTGACTAGAATTGCTCAAGTGAAAGGCAGGTCATTGTCAAGGTCTTCAATAACTGAAAGCCGGTGGTATTACACTCGCTGGTATTTTGTGTTCTTTACGCCAGCTAATTACATGTTATCAACTCTGAAGGCATTATCCAATTCACGTTTCTTTCATAAGTGCTCAATAAGTGATAATCAATTCCCTGAAGGTTAACACTAGCGGGATGGGTTAGTTTAAGCTTGTTTGCCGGCCTTCGTTTATAATTCAAATTCGTAAACCTAGCATTTTATTGTGATGTTATCTCTGTGTCTATTATTTGTCAAAGTTATTTATGTTATTAAACCTTTCATTCGCATCAACCCTTCAAGCAAGACCAGCCAAGAGAAGATTTATTTAATATGACGTTTGTAACACGAAAAACAGGGTTTCATTTCCCTTGCTCTTAAGACGGGAGACATCTGGTTTATTAAAAGTGTGTTAATGAACATGCTCTTCATGAAAGAAAAATCCAGGCCCACTGTGGCGTAAATCCCTTCAATATATATCTCCCAGGGGCTACAAGTTAGTTTATAGAAACGGTCCTTAAAGTTCCGTCTCCAGGAACATTAGTTGAAAAGAAGTTTTTTCGGAATTTGAGAGAATTTCCGTTGCGGTGCTATAATTGAAGTCTTATCTTCTAGAAAGTAAGCGTAAAATCTGGCAAAAAATGGAAATTGGTTTCAATTTCTGTCTTTGTGTAAAAGAAACAGAGATTCTTTGAATAATGCCGCTCGCGCGGTAGAATAAAAGAAATTAAGAGACCTAAACTACTAATTGGAAGTTCTAAATAACATTGTTTTGGCTAAAAGCTCATAAAAGTAATCATTCACATTTAGTGTTTGAAGTTACTCGATGTCAGGAACTGCCCCAAACCCCACGTTTATAACGCTAAGCTCAAGGACTTACTAGTAAACAGAGCGAGCTAGCATTAACGAGAGATAAGCCTTAACAAGTTGCCACAGAACTGAGAAATGAGATTAGTTTGCCATTCATTACGCCATAAAAGGGTGACCATTTTATCCCCTGAATTCCCTCGCACTTGTCAACTATACAAAAACGATTTTAATTTTACACTGCAATTCAAATTGCCTCAATCCATGTTATTCATCCGTTAATTAATTCCGTCTATTTCTGTTATTTGGCGCTCCAAGTGCTAGAGAATGGTAAAAACTGCTTCCTTCCGATGTTTACAACTGTTGTACAAACACAACCACAATGTTGGGTCTTTGAATTTAGAAAAGAAAGGGAGAAAAGACCTCCGCGGAAATTGCTCGGCGATAATTATGTTCCAAACGAATTTGCGTGGGAAAGTCTAAATCCGACATCTTATTTCTTAGCTTTGATTTATAGATCTTTCAGTTTATACATTGAACTGAAGGGAGACACGGTGCGTGGAATCTTCTCAAGACGCAGGGTTTTAAACAATTTAATTAAAAACTGACAAACTTTATTGCATTCTGTAGTCCGGATCTATTTAACTTAACCAGCCGGAACCCGCCAACGGTACGTTTCTGATCATTCAGCTTGACTTAATTTCTTCTTTCCCATTGTGTGTGTTAACGGCAAAAAGCGCATTGTTCTGGTAATATTCTCTTTTAGCCAAGTAAATATTAAACTGTTGTTTCATTTAGACTTTTATTCGTTGTGATAGGCTTAGATACTTTATGTACATAAACGGTACCGATCAAACACGAATTGCACAAATTCTATTTACAAACTTGAACAGTTTAACGGAAATATCCCTTGAACCTTTAAGGCACTGAAAGCGCAGAGCTATAGGCTGTTAGCGAGCTCAGTTTAAATTAGTTTAACTCTTAGTTTAACTCTTAAACTTGTCATGGCGTAGTGTGTTCCAATTTGCTGCGTTATGTAAAATAAAACCTTCCGGATTTAGAGGCCTGTTTCAATGCTAGTTATTTCTTTCTATAGAGGAGATAAAATCTGTATTTTTTCAATGTGGAATCACTGGAATCTAACCTAATTTAATGGATTATCGGTTTCTGAAATAAATGTAAATTGTTGTGTCATAAATCTGAGAAGTTGCATGTACTTGTTAAATCGAATGTGAGCTCAAGCACGAAAAGTTCAGCAAGGCTCAAAATTTGCGTTCTCTTCAAGTGTTCCGTCCATTCAACGATGGCAAGCGCACGGGTAGTGAAAAGAGCCATGGAAGTTTGGCAATCCGCTCGCTGGTGGAAAGCTTCTCGAGGAAGATGCTTCAGCGAATCTGAGGGCAGAAGTCGGGTAGGTAAATGCGTGAGACACAGTGCTTAAGGTTCTGCTGTCGTCGTAACCAGACAAAAGACCAAGCCTTGGACGAAATGCGGGCGACAGCGTACGCTCCGAGGATCCATAAGGAAGAGGTACAGGCAATTCTGTGGGTAAGTCACCAGGGGCTGATCTTAAATGCGCCGTGTACGGGAATGTAGAGAAGCTTGGCGTGAATGAATGGTAAAGGAATGGACTTTCTCTGAACATAAGAGGATGGCTGCACTTGGGACGGCGCGGTTTTCTGCGTCGTCTGAAGTTGCCTTTGGCGAACTCTGGTAAATCTTTCGGGTGAATCATCCAGTAGTGCCCCTTCCCGTTCTCTGCTCTGCTCGCCTTCACGAAGCAGTCATTACTGGACAGGTTGTGTCGTACGCTATTCCGCCAGCCTGGCCCTTTCTCCTTGTCAAAGTGGGGGTAATTCCGAGCGATAAAGTTGTAGATAGAGCTCAAAGTCATACGTTTAGTTGGGACGCTGAGAATCGCTTGCGCTATTACTGCTACGAAAGTTTCCGAGTTGCGATCGTCCTCTTTGGAACCTTTCGTTTTGTCTTCGTCTGTAGTTTTGTCGGCGTCGTTCTTTGTTTCGTCGTCGGTATCGTTTTTTGGCGACACTGCGTCTCGGATCTCTTCCTTGTGCTCCACATCCTCATTTTCTGGTTCTGTCTCTTGAACTTCAGTGATTCTGTTTGCCACAAATTCGTAGGTATTGTCGTCCTTCTTGTCAGCGTGCAGTTTTTCGGAATACAGGCCACTTAAATCTCTTTCGTGAAGCGTTCTGAAATCGTGATAAGCAAAGCGTGACATTCTGCCGGGCGGAAGAAGGTACTTGCTCAAACTGGGAATATTTTCCATGAGGGCGGACTTTGTCAGCTTTCTCGATGTGTTAAGCTTGTTAAGTGAACGAGCGCACTGGTGTAAAGTAGGTGTTACCCGTACAAGATGCGTGCACAAATGAGTGATCACAGCTGTGAAGGCAGTCTTTATGCCCTCGTTATTCAAACGTACGGAGGCATGATGTGTATGTCGTCTCCTGGGGGGTTGAAAATTTCCTCTGGGCAGGTGCCGGAGCTCTCAGTGACGTGTCAATAACATAAACAACACTGGCACAACTCTGTACAAGCCTATATTTGTCATTAGGCGAACAATACGAGCAAATCATAGCTTCAATTTACAATTTTGTAGCGAAGCGCTAAAGGTTTTCCTTAAGGCGTTATAAAAAGCAATAAAAGATTAGGCTCAGTGTGTCAACCACTATGTTTTGGAGACATATAGCAACTGAATCAATAGTCTTAATTTTTAATTTGTTTTGCTACAGTTTTGATATTTGGTTCATTAAAGTCGTTTGTTGCGGTATAAAAGCGATCAAGTCAAAGGGGGTCATGTGTATTCTAGGAAGCATATGTATGGCTTTATATAATTGCCTTTGTTGACATTACCAATACGCCCCTGAGAACCGCCATGAAATTAAAGCCAATATCAGCCCGTTTTTGGTAAAATATCCCTTGATGAAGTCATATCAGTTATCTTGTACAAACTGTACGCAATAGAGTTCAATTCAAATGTTACTTTTTTTCAAGGACATGCCAATTAGGTGGGAAAACTTTTATCACTTAACTCCGGGCAGGTGACGCATAGGTGAGAGAAATACTTTGTTGAAGAAGCAAAGTTTACACGTTTATTGAGGAACATAGACCTCGTTTAATTAATACAACACCATATATTCTCTACTAGCCAATCTAAACCGAGGTGAAAGCGGCTCGACATAAAAGAAGAACCGATATGTATTAGGAGCTAAAAGAAACTGTGTTACAATTACATTATTGCCTTTGGCTTTTCACTTCAGCTGCATGGTGAAAAACTCTCGTAATTAGGTTCATCAGTGGCCCTATGTGGAGTCGTAAAAAAGTGAAAAAAGGACTAAAATATTATGACGTCAAACAGCTATACTTCCAAAGTGAATTGAAAATTTAGCAAGTTTATCAGCACAGAAATCAACGATCGTATACACTATTTCTAAATCACGATTAATCCTTGACCCAAATAAAGCTCAAAAGAGGCTTCATGCTTTTCCTCTTTGTTTTTCCCCCAAAGATAAAAATTCTGCAGGTCACTGTTTAATTATTACTATCCGATGATTTTTTTTATGAAAGGTTCTCACATGCAGTTTTTCGAGGCGGAATATTTTGATGAAAACGGTCTAAATTAGTGATAATTGCTTTCTGAGCTGTGACTGCTTTTGTGTTGTGAGAGTAATTTTTACCGTTACGTTCCACGCCTTGTTGTCGTTCGTTATATTCAGAGCGATACGGGGAGTTAAGTATACTCAGCACTCTTTTTGTTTTCTTAACTGTGCGACAAAAGCCGCGTCTATAGATCTTTGCTAGGGACTTTCCACCCGAACTTTCTATGGTACGCTGGCAACCTAGGGCTTGTCAACATTGCTAATTAAATCGTGATTGTTCGATAAAATTGGGTTATTTCTTTTCTTCTGGAACAAATGTCGCGGTAGATTTTGCCATCAAACACAGTACAAAAGAAACACATCTACTTTTTAAAAGTGATTCTCTATAGTGTGTAAATAAATTGGCTCAAAACTGACCCTTTATCAAAGACGTTTTCAATTCTGACGAAAATGTTTGACATTCTAATAAAGATGCAGCAAGGTTATAAAACGAAAAACTTATATCTAGCAAGAAAATTTTCGCGGCAATTGTCCCCTATAATTGTGCACTGATTCATAATAAAGATAGCTGGCATTTAAAGTTTTGCAGCCGTTGCAGGAGTCCAAAGTTTAATCGATGCGCTTTCCGAGATGAGAAAGGAAAAAGTCACAAAGTAAGAATCGATTTTATGCACACTATGATCTAATCTGCGTTTTTGTATGTTGCTTTAACCAATTTACGAACTTTGTTAGCAATTACACGTAAAACGTTTTCCCGCGTTGTCAGTGAGACTTAACCATTGAAAACAAATAAAACGCTAAAATAACAGCTACCCGCAAAGAAGGGAATATTTTGACGTGAACAATGAGTCTAAAGAAATCTTTTTGTCTTGAAAGAAACCGCATGAAGAATACAACGAACGTCAATTCCGTAACGTTGTTCACGATTCCTTCTGTTTTTCATGAAGGTGAAGAAAAAACTGATGTGCTCGCTTTGAAAATCGGACAGGAGCAGTTACACAGTCGGCTCCTTCGAAATTAAAAACATGTGTGTCGGCAAATGTGAAAAAGATTCTTTATAAAAGAATAGAATAATACAAAGCTGCTTGCTTTACTTTCATTATTTTGTGATCATGTGTTTTGAGAAAAAGCAAAAACATACACGATTTGGATAACAGCTCGCGGTGAAATTTCTTACGACACCTGAACGATAATAGTCGCATTTTATGATATATGGGGAAACTAAAGCACACGAGGAGTCCTTTCAAGAAAATAAAAGAGGAAAATAGAAACATGCTTTTTCATAACAGGCCGGCGCTGTGAGAAATGTGTGTTAAGACAAGCGATATCAATAGTGGAGGTATGAGCGATAGATTACAAGCTTTCTTTCTCAGGGTCAATTGTGTTAAAAGAAAAATTCTCGCTAAAATTTCTAGACGAAAATCATAAAATGTTGAGGACTGGCAAAGCAATGGAAAACATAGGATTATTTTTCTAACAAAAGCACGGATGTTTATGCATTGTTTACAGACAAAGAAAAAATCTTGGTTAAAGCTTTATTCTACGATAGAACAGTCATTTTGTTTAAAATGGCATGCATGCTACCTGAAATTTCGAACTGCACAAATTGGGATAGATTCCACAGATAAACTTATATTTAACTTGGAAAATGTTTAATTGTGGACGTTCTCCTCCACACACTTCTGCTAGGGGACAAAGGCGTCAAAAAAGCTAGTTCATCACAAAGCAACCATGTGTTTGACTATAATATTTAGCCCATGATGTAACATTGGCGCGTCGTATACTCTAAACGATAAGGTTCTCTTAATCAAGGGCGAAACCCATCATCAATTTAAATCGCAAATAAATTTTTGGCGAAAATATTGACGAAATGAATTTTTCTGACAGAGTGAATTTCTCAGCGTTTTTGTCGGCCATACCGCCGTCTTTCCAGAGAGAGTGGTAATGCTATAACGTGAGTTTTGGTGCGTATGGGCGTCTTTTTCTAGACGAAAAATAAAGCAGCAACCGTGCTGGTTTTGAATTTGACTTATTAGCGTCCATAGATACAAACGAATTAAAGGAACTGCAAAAGCGCATGACCTAGTTCTTTCACGATTTGTCACTAGAGAAATGCCGAAGCAGGTGCCATCTTAATTTTCAAACACGCGGTAATTTGGCAATGATATTTTCTCTGTTGGAGGTCAAAGCTTTCCATTCTTGCAAAAACAAGAAACAAAATGGAAGAAATAAGGCTTGCGCGAGACAGAAACAACTGGATACAAGACAACAAAAGATGAAGAATCGATCTGGACAAACTACAATAAAAGAAGGAGTTTTGTTGTGGCTGCAGGGCGCCATTTTTCCTTGCTTTATTTTGGCAAAAGTGTTTCATTAATTACTGTTTTTCCTTAGTACAACACGCCGAATTGTAAGGGAACTAGTAAAGAACTCGGCATTTTACATAACGTTATCACACGCGTTCATCATAACTTTGTTATTCTTAAGTCAACGGAAAAGCTTAAAAGCGGCGGAAAACAGGGCAGGAAGTATGTGTTTGTATATTCCTTTTTTCCTAAGTAACATTGAAATTTTTTTCAAAAACTGAAGCATATAGAGGGACCTGTTTACTAAGGTAATGGAATAATGACTTATAGCTGACTCGAATCAAAGGTAGGCGACATATATGTGTCTATTGTGTCCTTACGACAGTTTGCTTATTAAATTGCCACACTTTCCTTCATTTAACCGAGTCTCTTTAAAACACAAATCACCTTTCGTGTGTCAGTAAGGTTATTTATCGGAAATTGAAACGATAAAAGCAACGGCAACGGAAATCTCAATAGATTTTTACCGGTAACCGGAACCGAAACCAAAACCACAAATGTTACTGAAAGAAAAACGCTTCCATGTACTCGTATCAAAACAGCGTTAAAAATCTGTTTCCCGAAAAACAAATTTCGACCTCGAAAGTGCACAATCTTACTGGCTATTTGTAACCTTAGCAGTATCGTAAATGCAACTCAAGTCTATGGAGCATTCAGACTGAATTTTAGCAAAAACTTTCTAGCCATTAAAAGGTAACAAAGGATCTTTTCCAGTTTAGCTGGTTGCAATAATATCCTTATTAAAAATGAAGCAAAACTCATTTGCCATTTTTTATCGAGAGCAAAGGATACCTCAAAGTTTCCTTTATGTTACGCAGACAATCGCTCTCATAATTCGCTTCTGAAACAATGACATGCGAATAAAAGAGTTACATACCTTGAAAATGGCTCCTTTGCCTTTTTCCTTCTTCTCCATCCACCTGTTGCGTTTTTCAGGTTGTTTTTCCAGAAGTCTTTTCCTGGGTGAATTTTCATATCATAAAAATAACTTTCGAAACGCCTATAGCCTGTTTGTGAAATCGTATGATTTGAATTGAACAGATAGCGAAGGGCACGGAGAAACCTCAAAATCTTAAGATTCTGCAATTGAAATTAAAATGGTTAATCAAACGCAGGTTAGAAGGTGATACCAAGCCATTGATACTGGTTGTTTGACTGAGAAAGGGTCAATGAGCCGATTAATGGTATGGCTTTCTTCTGCACAAACTTTCTTACTAATTCCTAAAACTTGAAATTTTCAAATCCTCGATCTTAATGATAAAGAGGTGAATAAGGAAGATATTCAATTATTTTATATCAGTAATCATAATTCAGCAGTTGACAAGTCATTTCCGGGCAATAAAAACCTACACTTAACAACTCTCAAAGAGTAAAGCTTTGTCAAGCTGAGCCATGTGTTCCTCATGACAATGAAAGAAAAAGAGTCCTCTGACATTCTCGCGTGACATACAGCAAGACAAGGACAAAATTAATAAGTAAATGACATGTAATGGCAATATCTTCAAGAGGTTTCCAATAAAACCGTCCGAATATAATTTTCATTGAGCTGACAAATTTCCTTAAAAGCCGGGTAAAGCGGTCTAATATCAGCTGCGATACACAGCGTCAATGACGTCAAACGTACTGTAAAATGGTTCTTTGGTGAAATATCCTTTAAAAGAGAACTCTAAAAAAATACAACTGATTATTTGCAACAAATGAATCTTTTAGACAACTTTATAATATTGTTTATGTGCAGTCAAAGGTCCGATTTCTGTCGAGAATAAAATCTTTTGGCCTCCAGCTCGAGATTCAAAATCTCCTTAATTACATTTCTTTGAACGTCACTTGGTATACATCATTTCTTAGCTGATGGTTGTCTCGTCCGCCTATCTATGTCGGCTAAAAAATGCTATCGATCAACAAATCGTATCAGGTCATGAACTGTTATCTTTGAAACTTACAAATTAGTTTTTATAACAATACGTCATCAATGTCGTTAGAGCGCGAACGCTCGACTTGTCGACTTCCCGAACTTGATGACATGCTTGCTAAACGTTTCAACAGTGAGTTGTAAAATAAATAAGTTACAGTATTTAGAGGAAGGCACATTAACCTTAGTCTCCTTCGCAGCCGTTATTAGGGTCGTCACGCAACGCTCCTCCCCACTAGTGGGGAGGAGCGTTGCNACAGTATTTAGAGGAAGGCACATTAACCTTAGTCTCCTTCGCAGCCGTTATTAGGGTCGTCACGCAACGCTCCTCCCCACTAGTGGGGAGGAGCGTTGCGTGACGACCCTAATAACGGCTTCGAAGGAGACTACATTAGCCTTAGCTGGTTTTCATGTGGGTTCTCTATCCTGGTGGAATTGATTTTTAGAGTGTTGGTTTCTGTGGAGGGAGGAAAACCGGAGAACCCGGAGGAAAACCCTCGGAGCAAGGCGAGGGCCAACAACAAACTCAACCCACATATGACACCGAGCTGGAATCAAACCTGGGCCACACTGATGGGAGGCGAGCGCTCTCACCACGGCGTCATCCCTACTCTCTGAGTCAGAATAGTCCGCCACTCTACACCTAAAATTCACCACTTGTTGCAGTTCTTATGTAAAAATGCCGGACTAGTTAAGTTTGAAAAGACCAACTCTATGTAACACCCTGAGTGTTTTAAACTGCAAACAATTAATATCGTATATAAACTTGTTTTCGTCTTTCGTCTCCTGTTTCTCTTTTTTCTCTATCTATTATTAATAACGAAATTTTAAATTATTTTGATTTTGGTCATAAATACTATTTATTATACTGTATGCAAAATTTAAATTGTAATAATCTTAGCACTCTCCGTATTTATGTCAGTTGAATAAAATTGACTTGAAGATTGACTTGACTTGTGTAATATACATGAAGCGTGTTGCGGTTTAAGGTTGCCCAAAACAGTTTCCATCACTTAGATTTTGATGGGTCGTTAAAACCACTCTTTATCACTTGATGCTATGATTATGGTATCAAAAAACTGCCCAATCATTGGTGAACACGGTATTGTCATTTCCGTGACACATTTTCATTTTCTGTACATAAGGTTCAGAGCCGCCTTAAATTGTAAAAAATTTCAAGGTGACTCTGAACCCTTTGTACAGATTTTTAAAAAACTTTGCCAAAAGTTGCGTCATGCTCTGCTGATCAAAATTTCATATGATAAAAAAATTTCACCGTGCCGTTTTTGAATCAAAATCTGACTGCTGAAAATTGTTTTGAGCCACCTTAAAGTAGATCAGTCGACTCGCGAAACAGAGAGTCTACGTTTGTTTCTTATCAATCAGCGATTACTACTACGCATGCTCAAAACAGCAGGTGAATAACAAGTTCCCCCGGGGGTAATCGGCTTTGAAATCTTCCGTTGGGAGAGTTACCTGTTTCAATTACCCTAGACGAGAACAGATTCAAACTTTTTCCTACAACAGATCAACTTTTTCTTTCTATGCATCTTTTCTTAGCCAGGTAACAGTCTGTAACAGCTCAAACTTCGCGCCCTTTAGGGCGGTGCACAGCTAAATTGGGGAGTACTGACTTCTCCCTCCCTTTCACCTCCCCCCCCCCCCCCCCCCCCCCCCCCCCCCCCCCCCCCCCCCCCCCC